AAGCATAGTTGCGAAATCACACACATGTCCACGTAGTCGTGTACAAGCAGAGAGCACAAATGCTCCGAGAATCCATCCAAATAAGAGCAATACAATGAAGTAATGAGCCGATGTTGAAGCCCTCAGGCCACACTAACACAGTATCCAAAGTCGCTTCCCTCTACTTGGCCTCCTCCTCCTCGACGATCTTCCTCCTTCCTCCTCCTCCTCGTCTTTCTTTCTTCCTCCTCCTCCTCCTCCTTCCTCCTTCTCTCCTCCTCCTCCTCCTCCTTCCTCCTCCTCTTTCCTCCTCCTCCTCCTCATCATCTTTCCTCCTTCTTTCCTCCTCCTCCTCCTCCTCCCCCTCCTCCTCCTCCTCGCCCCCTCTTCCTCCTTCCTCCTCCTCCTCCTCGGCGATCCTTCTTCCTCCTCCTCCTCCTCGGCGATCCTTCTTCCTCCTCCTCCTCCTCCTCCTCCTCCTCCTCCTAAGAGGAGGACTCACCTCGTTGCAGCACCAGGGGCAATCTCCCGGCGAAGGCTCCAGCGGAGGCGGCGATGGCTCCAGCAGCACAACAGCGGGGCGGTGGGGAAACGGGGCATTATGCCGTCAACGCCGACAGCCCCAGCACATAGGCGGCCGGCGGGGACGAGCAGCAGGAACCACGGCGACGGGGAGCGCTGCACCGCCCTACTGCTGGCCAGATCTGGGCCAATTTTGAATTCAAAAAATGGCCCGATCTGGACCGTCGATGTTAGTSGATCGACAGCCCAGATCGGGCCATCAATAGTTCAAATCCGGTAGGGACCCTACCGGATCCGCCTCCAAGGCGRGGTTCTGAAGGTCGATGAAGACCCAGGCATACCCATAAACCCCGTGAAAAAGACCTGCGTCTATTTTGCGYAGACCCCGAAATTGTAATTTCCGGGCTCTTCCGGGCCCTTTTTTCCGGCCGGATAAACCGGATGGTTTAGGGCCCTCCGGATATCCGAAAAAATAACACAGAAGAAAATGTAATATTATCATAATAATTTAAAACTTTTAAAAGTTATTTAAAAT